CAGGAGAGAGATCTGCCAGGGCAGCTGGCACCCCCTGAATGCAGGAGAAAGATCTGTCAGGGCAGCTGGCACCCCTTGAACGCAGGAGAGAGATGTGCCGGGGCAGCTGGCACCCCCTGAATCTGCCAGGAGACCTCGTTCCAGAGCAGGTTGTGCTAAAAATCCTTTTCTCTTCCCAGCTGGCCACACCATGGACCTGCTGGAGCCGCTCGTGAAATTCCAGGTGGGCTTGAAGAAGCTGAACCTTCACGAAGAAGAGCACGTGCTCCTCATGGCCATCTGCATCCTGTCCCCAGGTAGGAGGATGCTCATCCCCCCACCATCACCAACCTCCCAAATTTTGGCTGCATCCCCCAAAAACATCACCCATCCCTACCTCTCCATCACGGCCAACTGGGAATCACCCCACCCCGGTCATGTTTCCTAGATCGCCCAGGCGTGCAGGACACGGCGCTGGTGGAATCTCTCCAGGATCGCCTCTCGGAGATCCTCCAGACCTACATCCGCTGCCGGCACCCTCCTCCCGGCGGCCGCCTGCTCTACGCCAAGATGATCCAGAAGCTGACGGATCTGCGGAGCCTGAACGAGGAGCATTCCAAGCAGTACCGCTGCCTCTCCTTCCACCCGGAGCACAGCATGCAGCTCACGCCGCTGGTCCTCGAGGTCTTCGGCAACGAGATATCCTGACTCTGGCCGCGGGGCTGAGCGCCCACCTGTAAAGGGATAAGTCAGCCCGGTTTTCCCGAGGCGGCGAGCGGCGGGATGTGGCCCCTGGGCAGGAATTTTTGTCCGTGGACCGTTTGGTTTCACACTACTGGAGCTCCTGCTTTGTCTTCTCAGCCGGCCGAGGTTCGCTCCCGGATCCGTGTGGTTTCTCCCCAATTCCTTGAGCAGCTTTTCCGCTTCCCTGCCGCCCGCCGGAGCTGACTTATCCCTTTACGGATATTTCGAGGCGGGAAGACAATCCCTTCTTTCCTGACCCGAAAAAACGGGCTGCCTGGAAGGAGGAGCGCCGGGGTGGATTTGCGTGGGGAGGGGGACTCACGGCTCCGCTCCCCTCCTAAAATCTGCAGCGCTCGTCCCCACCCTCATCCGAAAAGGGAGATGCCGATCGAGTGGAACCCCCCGAATCCCTGCCGGAAAATGCCGCGGGCTGCGTCCCCACCAGTTAAAACCAGTCCCGTGCACCGCCGTGGGACTGGGATGGAGTGAAAG